AGTGCATAAGCATACTAAATGCCGTTTCTTTTTGAAACAGGACTCATGTTATTGTACGACATCAGTTTGTGGTATTAAATCATTGAGGAGTTACTGAGAAAAGTAAATAGGGTGTAAAGCATCGTTTTCTCTCTCATTCGTTCTAATAACTGGACAACAAATTTTTGTTTTTTAATCGTATCTTGTGGGAAAAGTGCACTTCTTTGTTAATTTTGGGGCGCTGAATCCAAAAATGACAATGAAATAAAAAAATTAGTTGCGGTTTAGAAAAAAAACTTTTTATTTTTAAGGATATATTAAAAAAGTAACAAGATTCATATACTTATAAGAATCACTATATGCGCTGCCTTTTTGCTGTTCTTTTATGGATCGTTTCTGGAGCATCTCTACCAAGAGTCCAACAGTAGTCTGCAAGCATGGAAAGATTCCACTTTCCCTGGTACCTTTTTTCCATTGTTGAAATATCCTGATGAAAACGTTTGCCGTGCTCATCACTTACGGCTCCGCAATTGTCAGGAAAAAAGTCCAGGTGTCAGTGTAGGAAATGTATCTTAAGAGACATATTACAGCCCATCTTTTGATACGATGACAGCATATTTTTGACAGGGGTTTTATAGTTGTCAGCTTTTCTATTTCCCAAGAAATTAGTGACCACCAGACGGAAATCATTCCAAGCAGTTTTTTCAATACCTTTTAAAGTGTTTTCAAACTGTGTATCTTTCAAAATATTTCGAATCTGTGGCCCAACAAAAATACCTTCTTTAACCTTTGCCTGACTTAGTCTTGGAAATTTCTGACGCAGGTATTGAAAAGCTGACCCATCTCTATCTAATGCCTTGACAAAGTTTTTCATTAGGCCCAACTTGATATGCAGTGGTGGTAATAAAATTTTTGTTTGAATCTACTAATGGCATATGCTGTACATTTTTTTGACCTGGCTCTAGGAATTGACGAACAGGCCAGTTTTGTCTGGTGTAATGAAGTGCCTTTGCCCGACTGTCCCATTCACACAAAAAACAGCAAAACTTTGTGTAGCCTAGCTGCAGCCCAAGTAAAAGTGCAACAACTTTCAAATGGCCACAAATATGCCATTGGTGCTCATCGTATTTTATGCATGTCAATAGGTACTTCATATTGTCATATGATTCTTTCATGTGAACTGCATACCCTACAGGAAGAGATGGTAAAATATTTCCAATATGCAATAACACTGCCTTCAAACTCAATGTTGAACTGTCTATAAACAATCTCCATTCTTCTGGGTTATAGTTTATATTTAAAGCCGCCAGTAAGCCGTTAATGTTACTGCAGAAAACCAAGTTATTCTCCATATTGAAAAATGGTTCTAAGTCTTTGTGGCGTTTACGAAAAACACATACCGAAACATCGTCTTCTAACAAGTTCCACTGCTGCAGTCTTGATCCAAGTAACTCTGCCTTACATTTTGGAAGTTCTAAATCTCTTACAAGATCATTTAATTCTGACTGTGTTATTTTGTGCGGTTCGTGGCATGACGTGCTCGGTATAAAATCAGGATCTCTTGACGTTGATGGCATATCTTCTTCCTGACGAATCACTCGATCGCCATGATCTGATTCGTTTTCTGATTCGCAAGTGTAGGATTCTGGGGGTTTTGGAATAGGATTTTCGTCACTGTGAGGCACAGGTCTCATCGCAGATGGTATGTTTGGGTAGTTAATAACAGATTTTTTTTCTTGGACATACCTGTGATTTGTCCAACACAAGGTACCATGCAAAAGTAACAATCATTTGTAGGCTCTCTCCAAACCATTGGGACAGCAAAGCGCATAGACCGTTTTTTGCCATTTAACCAGCTCCTCAGACTTGAAGCACATGTATTACAGCAGATGTGGGGTGCCCACTGTTTGTCTTGATCACCTAGTTTACAACCGAAATAAAGCTGATATGCCTTTGTTATTAGTGGAGTAATAGACCGTCTCTGAGACGCAAAAGTCACATCACCACACACGTAACAAAACTGATCTGGATTGTTTACACACTTTTGAGACATCTTGCATGAACGCTGTCAGCCAACTGAGGAAAAAAATGGCTAATATAAAACAATATAATGTACACGTATGTATAACGTAACACAATCATGCCGATTACATCATCTTTCCTTGCCGAATATAAAAATGTAGCACGTGCATTCTTGTGAATTACAATATATTAACACTGTCACAGCAGGAACACATATAATTACCGTATCTCTAAAACTTGAACTAATATTGAAAAAATAAGTTTCATTCCGGTTTTGCCACATTAAAAATAGTAATATTTTGTTGATTTTATTTAGGATATTTTTTGGCTGTTGATCAGTGTAATTGTTCTTTTTCTACAAATTCTAAGCATTGTTATGTAAGATGTTAATGAAATCAAATTGGAATACCAACTAGTAACGTTTGTAATTTTGATTTTTGTGTCACATGAACTGCTAAAAATACGATATTTGAATAAATAAAATTATTTTACAAATCAAACCTAAACATATTTTGCTAATTAATAAGCACCGTTCATTGGCATTTTTGTACATGGTCAAACATTGATTTTGGTAAGGTACAAAAAAATCAAAAGATCTAGTCCAACCAGGGATTTTTAACCATCGAACTGGTTTAACGTTACTCCTGGTAACTTTGTTATTGCAAAGTTTCATACAAATCGTATATTTGGCCTGCCTATACAGGTAAAAAATGAACTTAAAGCTATCTCAGTTTTAAATATGAAAGGCTCCGCGAGCTTGTTACGTAACAAACCTACATAATGTCAAAAACATCGATGAAATGTCAACTTGTGTACTAGGTAGCCGCTAATGTATTCCGCGCATAGTAAAGGGTGTATTTTTAGAGGTATAGAACGTTAAATTGCAATAAAACAACGATGGATTATTCGATTGACATTAATTTTTTTTATTCGAAAGATAATCTTGTGGCATTACATTTTAAATATGATTTCTCGCATATGACTGCCATGGCTGGCTCGGATGTAGTCCAATCTGGACGTCCAATTTTCGATGACTTTTTCCAACATTTGTGGCCGTATATCGGCAATAACATGGCGAATGTTGTCTTCCAAATGTCCAATCGTTTGTGGCTTATCCGCATAGACCAATGACTTTACGTAGCCGAAGAGAAAATAGTCTAGCGGTGTTAAAACACAAGTATTTGGAGGCCAATTTACTGGTCCAAAACGTGAAATTAGGCGGTCATCAAACGTTTCTTTCAATAAATCGATTGTAGCACGAGCAGTGTGACATGTTGCGCCGTCTTGTTGGAACCACAGCTCCTGGACAGCACGATTGTTCTATTCAGGAATGAAAAAGTTAGTAATCATGGCGCTATACCGATCACAATTGACTGTAACGTTCTGGCCATCATCGCTTTTGAACAAGTACGGGCCAATGATTCCACCAGCCCATAAAGCGCACCAAACAGTCAGTTTTTCTGGATGTAACGGGGTGTGGATTAGCTTCACTCCAAATGCGGTAGTTTTGTTTGTTAACGTAGCCATTCAACCAGAAGTGCGCTTCATCGCTAAACAAAATTCGCTTATGAAAATCGGAAACAACGGCAATCTCGTTTTGGGCCCGTTCAACGAATCTACGCGTTGCTTGATGATCGTTTGGCTTCAATTCTTACACGAGTTGGATTTTATAAGCACGCAAACCAAGATCCTTCCGCAAAATCTTCCATAAAGTGGATGGACACAGATCCAATTCCTGTTCTCGATGGCGGATGGACTGATTCTGGTATTCCTCAATGCTACGCTCTACAGTAGCAATAGCTTCTTCTGTACGCACTGTACGGCATCTCTGGGGATGCGAGTTATTAATTAGAGTAAACATGGTGCGAAAACGTTCCATGGGTAATCGAATTAACTGCTCTGATGGACGATTTTGTCGATGATAAAATGGACGTAGTGCGCGATCCGTATTCCGCACAGAATCATTATTTTCCAAATAAAACTGCACAATCTGCCAGCGTTGTTCAGGCATGAGTCTAACCATGATGAATTGCCAAACCAAACTGAGAATAAATCACTTGACAGCTGTCAAATCGGTTGCCATCTTCAAAAGTAATGCCAACTTAAAGTTCTATACCTCGAAAAAAAAACACCCGTTACAAATGAGCGTGAATGTCGGGTAAATCAAAGGTGAAACTTTATAGGAAAACCTATATAGTGTCAAAAAACATGCATCATATCTTAAGAACTCGATATAATGTCACTTTTTAAGTTACGTCGTAATACTACGTATACCATGTCACTATGCCTATTTAAACCTGGAACACCTTGTATAGGTACAATTTATTTCGTTTATCAATTGATATACGTACGTCTCCCGTATTCATGTAATATATGATTTATATCGATCGAAATCTCATAATAAAAATAAAGTAAGTAGTTTTATGTCATACCGATAAAATATATGCAAGATAGAAATTACTAATCTAGTAAAAACATTTTTTACAAGAAGCCGTTAAAAAGGTACTAAGAATTTAAAAATACTTTTTTCTGATTGAGGAAATTTCGTTTTATACTTCTTAACCTGTAAGCGATAATGGAGCTCCTTGGTCTCAGATTCTCAAATATCGTTTGAAGATTGAGACGTATAAAACGGCATATTTGCAATCAGAAGAATTTAAGAAGTTATATCTTTTTGGATCTTTTTATCAACAGCAAGATAAAAAGCTTGTTGTTAAAAATTTTCTTTATTGTATGCTGCCACTCTCTCCAACCGTTCCTGAACCATTTTTTATCTTTATGGAGCAAGGGACTCGTGGAAAACTTGCGCAGCAAATATTTCCACCACTCATCCCGCAGAAACAGTTTTTAAAATCTCCCAAAACATGTAAATTTCTTTTTTATGTTCCAATTATATTTACGAACAACCCTGTTCGATTTCTTTCGCGGAAACGGTGAAATTTTATGTCTGAGCACTGAACCAAGATTTCTGGAATTTGACCAAAGATTAACTTTTGTAGCATCTTCATTGCTTTCTGCAATGGACCAGGCGATAGATCCATGCACAGATTTTTTCCAGTACGCTTGTGGGACATGGAACAGGATGCATGTGATACCAGAAGATAAAAGCTCGATAAGCACTTTTGAAGTTATGGCAGATCAACTGCAAGTGGTTCTTAAAGGTAACATACTGATAGTTTTCAAGTGTTCTTGCGATCATAGTTTGTACATGTACCGTATGTTATGTGTATCTTAATTGCATTTTTCAGGTTTACTAGAGGATCCAATAAATTTAAGAGATAATGACGCAACACGTAAAGCTAAACTATTTTATAACAGCTGTACAAATCTAAGTAAGTAAATATATGTATTTTGTACCTTAATCCACAGAACCACGATAGACAAAACGTTTGTCAAGCATAACTAACTTTCGATGATTTGATATGTAGTTGCACACAAATGGCAGTGCGAGTGTTGCGCAACATGTGTCTGGCAGATTCACTACGAAACATAGGCGAAACAGGGGACGGGGCAGGAAGGCCGCGACGCCTCCTGGGAATCCGGTTGGACCTTAAAATTTGCATAGTTAGCATGATTTTGTGTACAATTTGGAGATTTTTTTTAGGAGTCCCCTCCCCCTGACAAAATTTGCTATCCCAGTTCTTGGGCAGATACACTTTCACAAAAAGTTATCTCTCGCTGATGATCGGCCCCGTCGGAGAAGCCCATGCTTTGATACATCCTTCCTTATTATAGTCTTATTCGAAAGGACCACTTTTACACAACATATGCATGTTGCCAAGCCCAACATTGCGTCAAAAAATGTTCAAACAGTTTATAAAAAAAATTCTTTTGGGCTTTCTGAACAAAAAAATTCATATGAACGTTCCGCTAAAGTCGATAGTTTTTTTTTATACTCCAACTACCACGAAGGCCTAAGGCCTAAACACCCATTGGGCACCGTGGGGCTATAGGGGGATACAGGGGAAAGGGGGACGGGACGCCACACGGACTCTGGCGAGGGAACACGTGTACATGCGACATGCACACATTCTGGCTCCGCCTACGAGATCCGCCGGGTGGTACCTCCACGTTCGACAGTCAGAGACCGTCTACCACCTACGGACAATCACAACATCCATAGCCAAGGGAAAAATTTCTCCTGGGACGGGACTCGAACCCGCACAGCGCACGGCGACTGATCAGGAGACCGAAGAGTATACTACTGCGGCTAACGCTGCTGCAAAAGTTTTCGAGATATAAGCGATTTTGCAAAATACCATCTTCGACCCCGACAAACATTACTAAATATTCTTCAAACATGCGTTAAGAAAATCCAAAATCATTTTGGGGGTATTGTTATTGTATGCGTTTGATTTTTAATTGTGAATCAAGCGCGTGCTCAGTCTTTATTTCCCGTGAGCGCGAGACATGCAATATCCGGTCGGCCATCTAAAATGCTTTGGGATTTTTTGGATGTTCGATGAATATTTCAAGCCTTGCCAGCATTAAAATTTTCGTTCATCCCTATTGTTTGTCGGGTCAAAAATGACATATCTTACACATTTTCAAATATCTAATCGCATATGAATTGAAAAATATGAAAGCACAGACATCTGATAAGCCACGTATTCCAAACCATCTTGCAGATTCGTTCCTTGCAAATAATTATTTCATATCAGTTTTTGATTCCACATATGCTCCTGATCACGTTTTAAGGTATATAACGAAAATGTTCCATATATTAATAAATTTTCTTTCAGTCTTCTAGAGCCTCATGAAGTAGCTGTAATAATTTCTAGTCCGATGCAAAAGGTACTGATGGGTTGAGCTTGTCTATGATTAAGCCCAGTCTGCCTGTTACTCTCATCTATATCACCCACCTTGTTAGTAGTTGCCTTGAAAGAGGTTATTTCCCTGAAACGTGGAAGCGAGCAATTGTGTTACCAGTTCCAAAAAAATCAAATCCAGATGAGTTTGCTGATTTAAGGCCTATAAGCCTATTGCCTTGTTTATCGAAGGTAGTTGAAAAGGCAGCCCGCTAACAACTAATGCATTATGCAGAGGAACATATCATCCCATCTAATCAGTCTGCTTTCAGGAAATCTTTCAGTACTACTACTTCCCTCTTAAACTTGGTTGATAATATTATTAGAGCACTTGATAAAAAATGGGCGTAGCAGTGATGTCAATCGATTACTCCAAGGCATTTGTCAAAATAAATCATGAGTTGTTAATAGCAAAGTAGAGGTATTATGGTATAGATCCAATTGCATTGAACTTTTTTCGAAATGATACATCAAATCGATCGCAGTGTGTATCAATTGAAAACAATAAATCTAGTTTTCTAGAAATCTCGTCTGGAGTACCTCAGAGGTCTGTTTTGGGTCCCTTGTTGTTTTTGATATATATTGCTGATCTGCCTAAGGCTGTGAGTTTTTGTGAACTCCAGTCTTTTGCGGACGATACTCAACTGGTCCATTATTTTGATACTGATGATATGGAAATGGCACAGTATCAATAAAGCATGATATTCAAAAAGTGTATGACTTCTCGAACACCCACAACCTGTCAATAAATCCTGGTAAATCCAGCCTGTCATTTTTTTGTTCGGATCGTAGGAGAGAAGAAACTAAAAGTCAATTAACTATTAGAATTGGATCTCAAACACTGTACCCGGTTGACGAGGTTAAAGTTCTTGGCGTGGTAATCGATTTCAAACTTAGATTCACCAGTCATGTTAAAAATCTTTTGAAGAAAACCTACTTGAGACTGAGATCACTATATGCCAATAAAGCAATTTTCAATTATAAGCTAAATAAAAAACTGTGCTCATCTTTGGTTATGGCGATTTTCAACTACTATGATATTTTATATTATCCGTGTCTCAATGTTTTTACTGGAAATCGGATTCAAATTGTGCAAAACAATTGTGCTAGGTTCATCTGCGGTTTAAGGCGCTTTGACCATGTTTCTGGTAGTCTTATTGAATTAAACTGGATGATAACAAAAAATATCATTACCTTGTTTTCATTCATAAACTAATACTTATGTCAAAACCTATATACTTAAGAGAAAAACTGATCTTTAGGTTAAGTGTAAGAGTAGCATGTTGCTAAACTTCGCCACCATATGCAACTCTTGTTTCTCTGTATGAAATAGTAATAGTATGAATACAGTTTAAATAAAGACGATTATTATTATTATTATTATTATTATTATTATATATCTCGAGTACTATCAACTTTAGAAAAAATTTCATAAGGATGGAATGTTCCAGAAAACTTGTCGGGAACCAAAAAAAGCAATTTTTTGAATTTGTTTAAAAACCTCTCAATAATTTTGGAAGCAATTTTGGTCCTGACTACATGCAGATTCACTGATAGTGGTTCTTTTTTAATAAGATTATGCAAAAACACCGGATTTGACTATTTCGAACGTACTTCCTGGACTATCAGGACATCATTAACCCGGCTTAGTAAGTTGACGGTTGCCTATATAGAGTGAAATGTCATTTTCCGAACAATTTTTAGCTACTTTTTAATAGTAAAAATTCGCAAGGCGTTTATAGTCAAAGACAATGATTTAAACTCGTCATACCATAACAACAATTTGTTTTTTCGTACCCACAACTTATAAATTTACTGAATCATTGTAGGTGACATCAGGAAAGTAGGTGATAAACCAATTAGGCAAATTATAGCACAATTAGGAGGATGGCCAGTATTAAATAGTAACTGGACGGCACCGTCGTTCTCAGTTGAAACCCTTTTAGGAATTATTAGAAGCAATTATAATGAAGGCTATGTCATCGAGCAGTGGGTTGGACCAGATGATAAAAATAGCTCGAATAACATATTACAGGTAATTTGTATTATTTTTGTTTTGCCATTTATAGTGGAGATGCTGGGATAAGATAAATATCATATTTTCCAAAAAAAATATTAGGAATAAAGCAAATATAAATAATGTCATGTCAGTCTATCTTTTTACCCCTTCCCCCCTCGTTTGTGCCCATAATTTGGTTCTGGTTTCAATGCAATACATGTTAGAATAAACAAAACGTGATAATTGTATGGTTATTAACATCTGATTTCAGTGAAATCACTATAGGATTCAGATTAAAAGATAAAATTTCTTGATAAATATTATGCGTAGATATCTCTAAAATGATATGACATGCCAGTCGAATTCAAATAACATTTTACATTAGCATATATAGGATCATATTAAAATGCAGCACCTAAAAAATCTTAGAATTCGAAGCAGTTTCGGAAATAAAAAGAAAATTCTATATATTGTCATTTAAATTCGATTCTGTGGCCTGATATTAACTAAATTTCCACCCTCATATATATGATCACCCATGACAATTTTTTCACCTAATTCGTGTATCAAAATTATGATGATAGTATCAAAATTATCACAGGTGAAATTCGGTACGAAAATTATTGTTAAAGAAGACATTTACAATCAAAGAAACAACATCACTTGAAATAGAAATTCAGTTGGTGAATTTCATGACAGATATTTCTAATGTATTAAAATATTATGACGTGCCATATACACTGAGAACCAAAGTCGCCTGACAGCTTGAGCTCAATGAGTACAACAGAGAAGTGTGAACAAACACATATGTTAGAAAGAGATAGAAGCCGACTGCCGTACCGACTTGCCTAGCAACTCTGATGCGGCAGTCTGCCGCGTTGCCAATATGTTACACCAATACCTTGAATTAAGATGCATGTTGAAAATATGCGTTAGCTTATTCTCTTCGCCCAAATACTCGTTTTATTTTTAGCGTAAACATTTTTGAATTGTGAATTGTATCGAATCTGTTTAGGATCGATTCCGGATCCGTCCTAACGGCGCTTCATTTTAGATGTAAATGGAAGGTCAGGCTCGCCATAAGTTCTCCGACATTGCATCATTGGTTCGCCTGGCAACACCGCATCTCATATATTCCATGGTTTCCACCTACATGCTCATAGAGCAATTTTTGTGCGTTTCGTCCTGCTTCGAAATTGTTTTCACCTGCGTACTCGCAGGCAGTATAAATTCTAAAATAAATTAGGATACTTAGGCCCGTATCGTCAGTCGTCCCTACAATTATTGTAGGGCGCCTTTATGGCCTCCTTGATTGTCATAGTTTTCTACTTCTCCGTGTCAGAACTCTATTTTGAGGTTATGTCACAAACATCTATTTGCATCAAATTGTGCTTGCTTTTGAGTTATATCATGTTTTATTAGCCTGAAATTTCCTACAATTTAAAAAGAAAACATATCTTCACAATTGGAAAGCGATGACGCTGACACGGGACAAGTGTAATCTAGAAATTTTTCAAGGAGAGAAAGGAGTATGATAATCAAGAAGGCCATAAACGCGCCCTACAATTGTAGGGACGACTGACGATACGGCCCTAAGTCGCATCGAAATTGAAATAAGTAATTCTAAACAAAATTAAAAACAAAAATATTAAATAAAATGTTTGGACATACCTCATTCTTGGGTTTGAGAGTAAAATAACCTATTGTAGAAGCCTGTGCGAACATTTTCTGGTGTAACACACTAGCGTTCCCACGGGTGGTAAAGGGGGTAACTACTCCCCCCCCCCCCAGACGACTGGAGCAGTCTTCGGAACAGTGGTATAAAGTAAACGTCTCATAAAAAAATCTGTAACTTTAAGAAAGGATAGCGGCGACACTGCCACCCCGCTCAGTCCGCATGCGACTAGTGACTACTCTCCCACCAACAGCAACGATGTGCACTTCTTCCTGTTGGAACAGGTATAGTCTAGTTTTTTATGGTCTAGTCTAGTGTCTAAATTCTGTACCAGTCCGGAGTCCGCAACAAAATTTGGCTGAGAAGTGAACGAGCGGAGTTTTGTTGATCCGGTTGGTATTAACGCTATTTTCTATGTGCTATTGATTTTTTATTTTCCACGCATAAGCCAGAAAATTAATTTTTGTTTGTTTTTAATTTTTATACTATGAAAGAACCGTGTCTAAAAAAATGACAGACGGAAAAATGGAAATTTAATATAATTTCAGTTACGAAGTGTTTGGTCCATACTCCAGCTATCATTATCATCTATGTCTATTTTGTCTCGGCAGTCCCTGTATATAAGCACCTGAGTGCATTTCATTCGCTCGAGATGGCAAATTATATATTTAGTTTTTGAAAATTGCGTGAACTTAAGAAATCTTGTTTTCCAAACAGAAAAGGTTCTTTGTTATGAGATACGTGAATGCGTGGAAACCAATAATGCCGTTTATTTGACAATATTTGTGTAACTTTTAGTGCTGATTGACGGCTGCTGTTGTCAGGATGAGTAAAAGGAAACAATACCATCGATTGGTTCCTTTCTAAACAAAACAAACTGTCTGATCGACCGGCACAAGAATTACCGGAAATAACTGATGATAATCCTACAATTCAACCTGAGCCTTCCACTTCAAAATTTCTTGATTTTGCTCCGTGTGCTGAACCAGGTGTTGAACAATTGGGTGCGAAACCTAAAGGATCCAATTTTGTTGATGTTGCGCCATATGTAAATTTCAGCGGCAACTTGTCTTCCCATGAAAAATATACCTTATTGAGGTGTGCAATGATCCCTAATGACTCTTTCAAATAGCCCTATTCCACACACCTGAAAAATAATAAAGAAGGGACATGTTACTTTAAAAAAACACTGAGAAATTTCCTTGGTTGTCATATTCAGAGGAACTACAAGGGCTTTTCTGTAAATATTGCGAAGTTTTTGCAAAATTAGGAGTACATAAATCAACTAAATTGGGAAAAGTTGTTACCGTACCACTAAACAAATTTTCGAAATTGTACGGCAAAACCGGTAATTGTGAGACACATGAAAACTCAATGTATCATACAGAAGCAGTTTCAGATGCTACAAACTTTTTAAGGATTTACGAAAATCCAAAGAATGATATAAGAAATGTAATACGTTCAGAGCGAATTAAGCAAGTATCAGAAAATCAGCAAAAATTTTCTATTATAATTGAATCTATAATTTTTTTAGTACGCCAAAATATACCACTTAGAGGGCATAGAGATATGGGACGACTTTTTTCTAATGACAGCACGAATTACGTGAAGGGAATTTTAGAGAACTAATACGGTTTAGAGTCGAGAGCGGCGACAATTTATTGAAAAAAGAAATTAGAGAACTCAAAAGCGCATCCTACGTACATAAGCAGCCGCATCCAAAATGAAATTATAGAATGTTGTGGCGAATAAATCTTGGTTTCAGTTTTGAGTCGCGTCAGGCAGTCAGTATTACAGTATTATATTTGACGTATTACGGTATAGTTATCAAAAACATATTTACGAGGACTTCATGGGATTTGTGGATTGATACTCAAATTTCGATGAAGATACAATGGAGCCGAAACTCACTGGTCAAATTCTTGCTCAAACAGTCAAGCACTTCATTAAAACCAATAACTTAGACTCAAAATTATGTGTGGGTATTGGTACTGATACGTGTAACCTAATGTTAGGTGAATAAAAGGGCGCTGTAATGGAATTGCAAAAATGTTTGCCAAATGCCCTAAAAACCCTTGCGCAAATAATACCTTGAATCTTTCGAAAAAAGCAGCAGTGTCCAAGCAGTAAGGAGTACTGTACGTATAATGAAGGAAGTAATTGCGTTCTTAAAAGCATCCTCTGAAAGAAATACAGTATTAAAAAGAAAACTAGGTGGATATCAAATTCATAATATGTGCGAAACACGATGGACCGAGAGACATGATTCTGTGCTCCAATTTGAAAGCAAATTCGAGAAAATTGTATGGTAAATATTATATCAAATTGGAAAGATCGCGAAGCTTCTTCAAAAGCGAAGTCTTTGAAAACTGCCATTACTTCCACCCAACTTATTGTATCACTAAAGTATTTGTATGATATATTAGCTTTAACAGTCAACCTGAGTAAGATTTTACAATCGAAAACAATTGACAAACATCACGCTGTCAAACTCATAGGAAATATTATTTCAGTTGTATAAGAAAGACCCGCAAATTCCGAAAAGCACATTAGAATACTATTCGCATCTATAATGAAATCACATGAAACCCAAGAATAACAGCAGGCAAATGAACAGACCGAACATAGTTACGTCTGACAAGGAAAATCATTACAGACTGAACCTGTATGTCCCTTTGCTAGATAATATATTACAGGATTTGGTATACCGGTTCAACGAAGAATCTTTGAATATATACAATTTTAATATTTTCTTTGCGTCAGTATTTAATTGAAAAACTGAAGCTGAAGTAATGTATATATTAGAAACAATATCTAAATATTTGCATGGACTAAATAGTAACGAAAACAAAAATTTAATAAGTAAGATATTATAGACAGTAGAATGTCACTGTATTCATCATGTGATGAAAACATTTTTCCTTCAATTAATAGATGCCTACAATTATTGATTTCATTGCCGGTAAGTGTTGCGACATCGGAAAGAAGTTTCTTCCATCTAAAGAGGATAAAAACTTGGCTGCGCTCCACTATGTTACAAGAGCGATTGATAGGTTTAGCTCTTTTGTATATGCATAGCGATATTAAAATAGACCTGAATACAATCATAGATCGGTTCGCCAGCAAAAAGAATAGGCGCCTTGATTTTGTAATATGATAACACCTGAACTTTGCCTAAGGTTGTCTATCAGATCCATCTCCATTCTGTTGGCCAATAAATGGAAAAGCAGATGTAGTTAAGGGTTTACTTACGTTTAAACCACCACGGTGATCTTTTCCAAAGTATCCAATCAAGATATGTGCTTTTATTTATTGGCCAACAGATTAATATAAAAGTCTGTTCAAATTCTGTTCAAATCACTTTCTAAGCTAATGTAATGATTATTTTATTTTGAGACTGTGAACTGATGTAGTTTCATAGTTTATATGTTTTTGTTTTTTGAGACTGGCTAAGAGAATGTAGTTAAGCAATGATTATTTTTTGTTTTTCTCATGATTAAGAATTTTATTTTGATTTATACTTTATAGAAGTCGTAACATATTTGTTATTGTTATTTTTTTCATGAAGATGTATTCTTTGTTGTTTTGTCTGACATTGTTATGTAGAAAAGTCTGTGATAGATTATATGATTTTGCATTTTTTATTTTATATATGAAGATTGCTCGAGCTTGTTTGCTTTATTTACACTTTGATTTCGTATGGTTCAAAATTAAAAAAAGTTGTATGTATTTTTGACAGAAATTACTGTAACAAATTCATATGTCTGCATATGTCCATGCTTTTAATGTTAAATCATTATAACTTCAGTACATCACTGAGAATTTAATTTCCATTTTACCCCTCCCAGACTGAAATCCTGGGAGTGCCACTTGTGTAACATATTGACAACACGGCAGATTGCACGACCTTCTGCGTCACCGTTGCTAGACAATCTGTGATGACCTTCGCGGTTCAGTCGGCTTCTATCTCTTTCTAACATGTGTTGAATCACACTTCTCACGCTTCTCTCTCTCGTACACATTGAACTCAAGTCATCAGGCAAAGTTGGTTTTGCCTGTAACCTTTTTGTGTCATCGTAAAATATGCTGCTACTACTACTCATGAATCATCTGATTTCGTGAAACATTTCGAAAGTTACTCTTTACAGTGGGGTCAATTTTTCAAACAAACCGTCCAGTGAATCGCTTTTTTTAAATGGAAATCGTTAAATAAACCAAGCTATTCCAGTAATTATAATGGAGTGTTTTTTTCACTAACTAATAGCTCTACATAAAATTCAGAACCAAAAAGTAGTAGCAGACCAACACAACATAGAAAACTAGCTTTTCTATCTTCGTATGTCTGTCCAGCATAATTGAACATTTCGTACATGTTAACTTTCCTCAACTCCTTTTGAAAAGTGTTTTAATTTTCTATAAGTTCCCCCAGTTAACAAAATTTGTCGTGAATTCTGACTTCGACCAAACCTTCGGGCCAAGGAATCAGTGTAGTCGAAAGACATAAATCATCCGCTTTATTTCACTTGAAATAAGATATATGCATCGAAAAATGGAAACACGCCGTGAGAGATAACATACAGCTTGTAATAATTGTTATTAAAAAAACCGCCCTCGATTTTTGAACTCGTAACGTTCCGCATAGTCAATAATTATATTTGATTACAGCTTTATTGCACAAATTAACAGTCATTATCGTAAGTCATAAATTACCCAACATCTGAAACATTTTTTTTAAATAGCGACAATTAGTTGTATACAATCATCGCATTTTTTCTCAAAAATAAATAAATAAATTGGTAAATACAGGGTGACCCATTTATGTGGGGACGAAATATTATCCCTAGAGCGCGTTTTGAAGAAAACGATTGTACATAACAACAAATTCCTATCTAATACAATAGAGGGTATTCTAATTTTGATATTTCAGATCGACCAGTCAGTGTTGGCTTTACCCAGCCGAGATTATTACTTGAAAACGAGTAGCAGAGGCGACTTAGATGCATATCACAGATATATGACCAATATTGCTATTCTGCTTGGAGCAAACTCAACAACCGCTGCTAAAGAGTTATCAGAAATTATAGAATTTGAGAAAAGATTAGCTAATGTAAGTTAATTTCATAGGAGGTGCTCCGGTATGTCAATTTTAGTTTTTAGTAGATAATTTACAGCGTGTCCCAGCGAAAATGGAAAGTACAAGAACCATAAAAGATATTTAAAAACGGTTTTCGCAACAAGATGGTGATGTTTAAAGCCTTCAAAGATCGATTTTTTTTTTCAGAAAAATGATATAATAGCTAAATGTTCATACCACTATTCATCAATCTTGAATGAAATACAGGGTTATCCAAATTAAGTGTCCACCATTAGTAACTTTGTTATTAGTGAAAATACAAAGTTGTTTGAATTAGCAAACTAGTAGCATTTTTAACGCTGGTAAAAATGAGAAATAAAAAAAAAACAATTGAGAGTCGTTATTTTGATTTTTTTCAGTAAAATAACATTTTTTTAAATGGAAACCCCTGTATATTATATTTTTTTCTGTTAAAGCATCAAATTTTAAACAAAAAAGTTCATAATGACTTTTCCGCTAAAGTCAAAAATAAAGTCAAAATAACGATAAATATTTTTAATTATTTGCAGTATTATAATATTAAGACGGCTATGAAAACAACATGGCGTTCGCGATTTGACAGCATTAAGATAAGCGACAAATTGTTAAACTGGACATACTCGCAACTAGAAGGCTTTGGAAAACAATGATAAAATCAAATAATGTCAAACATTAGTGTAAATACTTGTTTATAAGCTTTATTGTGTCATTAATTTAAAGAAAAATGTTCTCCCATGAAGAAAAGTGTGATATGTTAGAATGCTATTTAGTGTGCAGAAAATCCTCCTTGAGAGCAAGAGAATACTACAGTGAATTATATCCCGCTCGCATTCAACCGTATGAACGATATTTTCTGAGACTTTATCGAAAATTTAGGGGCAACGAAAATGTTTTTGCTAAAACAAGAGCAAAAAAAGAATTCATAATAAGCGAGGCCACGGAAATTGCAGTTATTGGATATTTTGAAGCTTATCGTGAGAATTCAATAGCAGATATTCTCAAGGACTCTAATTTCAGTTATGGTACTGTTCAAAGGATTTTAAAAAAATACAAATTTATTCCGTATAAGTACCGACCAGTTCAAACGCTTTTGGCAGGGGATCCAGAGAGAAGACTTGTTTTTTGCCATTGGTATCTTAGCTTCTGTCGCCAAAATGTAAATAACTTTCGTTACCTTTTATGGACAGATGAATCAAATTTTTCAAATTCTGGAATGTTTAATAGAAAAAACCACCATTATTGGTCAAGAGAAAATCTTTTGTTAGTACATCCAAGAGGCCCACAAGTCCGTTTCAGTTTCAACGTTTGGTGCGGTATAATTGGTTCAAAAATTGTTGGCCCGTTCTTTTATGAGGGAACCCTAACTGGTGAAAGATATGTGGAATTTATGTCAGAAATTCTGACTAATTTCTTAGACGAATTGGATCTTATAAGTAGACATCATCTGCATTTTCAGCAAGATGGCGCACCTGCCCACAACTCCAGAGGTACTTATCATTTTCTAAGTACTACTTTTAATGATCAGTGGATAGGAACAAATGGCCCAATACAGTGGCCTCCCAGATCACCAGATCTAAACCCACTTGATTACTTCTTGTGGGGTTACTTAAAGAACCAAATTTACAAGCGAAGGTACGATAACCTTGACGCGTTAAAGACTGCAGTTAGGGAAAAGATAACCCAGATAGATGGTAGGACCATACTTAAGACAGTTCGAGCAGTTGAAAAACGTGCCCAAAAATGTATTGAAGAACAAGGTGGTGTTTTCGAGGATCTTCTTTAAAAAAAATTGTTATTGTATTTTGTAAGATTATAAGTTGATGTTGAAAATAAAGTTTGTCGATACAATTTAATTGTTTCAGATTGGAGGCCATAACTTCAACAATTTGTAACCTAGGAGAAAAGTTATTGTAAGCTTTTTTGTTTAAAATTTGATGCTTTAACAGAAAAAAATATAATATATAGGGGTTTCCATTTAAAAAAATGTTATTTTACTGAAAAAAATCAAAATAACGACTCTCAATTGTTTTTTTTTATTTCTCATTTTTACCAGCGTTAAAAATGCTACTAGTTTGCTAATTCAAACAACTTTGTATTTTCACTAATAACAAAGTTACTAATGGTGGACACTTAATTTGGATAACCCTGTATAGGGTGCTCTATTTAAGAAGGCACATGTTTATGGTGCCACGGTATTCCGCAACACCGTGTATATTTCCTAATAATTTACACACCTGTCAGATATCAATGTGGAAGCGAAGCCCGTTTTCCATTCTTTTTTATAGTTTTTCTGTACAACTATTTTCCTTCGTCGCTGGACACCCTGTATAAAAAAATTTATCAGGAACTTTTGTAGGTTCTTGAAAGTTTGTTTTCATGATTTTCTAATATTATTCTAATATTATTAGCATTTTCTAATATTAATTTTCTTGAAACAAGACAGCACAAAGTGGCAGCTTTCGTCCTTAGCCTACCTGAGACGAAGCCTAGACCATGCTGCTGAGTTAGCAGAAAGCACAAAACAGCAGCCCATGGTTGACCCTCTATGGTCAGACATATGACAGCCAAATTCGACCCTCATCATTGGGATCTCGAAAACAGAAAGAGAGTCGCTTAAATTTAGGCAAATTTGCGTATTTAGGTAATCAACAAAATGCCGCTTAGAATGTTTCGAAATTTAAAGTCCTTAATCGCTTTAAGTTTTGCCTGACTTTATCTGCCGTGAGGTTTCAAAATAAATTATGCACATTAACATTACCACTTTTTTCCTGCACAAGATGGCATAATCAGAATTTTAATACGAGTATGACGTTTCTTCTCTTGTCCTCCAGCATCAAGTTTTTTTTTCTTATATACGCCATATTGGATTATTGGAGAGAATAATAGAACTTTTCATTCTGATTCCAAATATATATAATACGCCATACATTGACACTTCCTAACCTTAGTTATTTTAAAAAAACAAAATCTCCTAGGTAGGCCTTGAAATTACTCATTTGTTTCGCAAACAAGATTTATCCCAAAATAACTTTTATTTCTGCAAGATGGCATAATTAGAGTTTCATTATGACGTTTCGTTTCTTGCCCTCCAGCAAAAACCTTATTTTTTCTCATGGACGCCATATAGAATTTTTGCGCAGATGAATAGAGTTTTTATTCTGATTTATGAATATGTCATACACTGATATTGCCAAACCTCAGTTATTGTAGAAAAACATAAGTTCCTAGGTAGGCCTTGAAATTATCAGATTTCATTTGTTTCGTATACCAGATCAGCCTCAGACTGAACATAGCAACAGAGTGTGGAGGACTGAGAAGAAGAGAAATAAATCGAGCAGTGAGCAGTGTACAAAGAAGAGTCGGGGCCTACAAAATAACGGACAACATTTTGAACATCTGCTAATATTATTACCATCAATAAAATTTTCATTTTGTGTTCGGGTTTCACCATACCTTTTTATTTCCTTATAGCTTTCATCTAACAACAAATTCAGGGCCAACTTCGGAAATACACATCACTGAAAAGTCCATTTATATATAGAACATTCCAATATAGCATCCATATGAAAGAACAAAGTCGAAACAAGCAATGTCGAAACGAGAATTTAACTATGTAGACGAGAATAAGTAACAACATGCAATTTATTTTAAAATCCCATCTCAAATAAGGTCAAGGAAAAATAAAAGTGATTTTGGGATAAATCTGGTATACGAAACAGATGACTATCTGATAATTTCAAGGCATACTTCTGCTCTTTTTAAATAACTCAGTTTTGACAATGTCAATGCATGAAGTTGAGTCATTAATTTTCAGATAATGATTGTAGAAGGAAGATAAACCAAAATATGTGTGTAAAAATAAAAAAAATAAAAAAAAAATGTTACCTTGTTTTATAAAGTATCCTCCCGACAAGTATTTCAGTGCGGACCTGTGCGCCCAAAAGCATGTCACAAAAACTGTTCGAAATGATTTCCGTTTTGCTCGACGCACAGCTGGGCGCGTCTTAGCCATGTCTCTTTACAAGCACGCAATAAAATCACTGGTTGATTTCTGATCACTGTACTCATTTCCTCAATTCGAGCACGTAATTCTTCGCGTGTATTAACCGGTGTTTTATACACTAGAGTTTTTAGCCAACCCCACAAACAAAAGTCTAAAGGATTTAAGTCCGGAGACCTTGGCGGCCAAGGTACAAAACCGCCACGGCCGATCCAACGATTATTAAATTGTCTATTTAAAAATTCACGCACATTTCTTGCATAATGGGGTGGTGCCCCATCTTGTAAAAACCACATGTTTTGTCTAATATTTAAAGGCACATCTTCCAGTAAACCAGGCAAATTGTGTTGCAAGAAATCAAAATAATTTTCACCAGTTAAGCGATTTGGTAATTCAAAAGGCCCCACTAAAATTCCATTAACAATTCCCGCCCACAGGTTGATTGGTTCAAATCGCTGTTGAAAATTGGTTTCCCTTATTTCATGGGGATTTTCAATAGCCCAAACGTGAGAATTACGTGAATTAATAATTCCGTTTCTAGTAAAGAGGGCTTCATCACTCACTAAAATTTGATTTAAAAAATTGTCATCATTTTGATGTTTATTTAAAAGCCAATTGCAAAAGTCAACCCTTTGTTCATGATCTTCCGGTTGTAAGGCCTGCACTTTTTGTATGTGAAACGGATAGAACTGATTTTCATGTAGAGTTTTCCAAGTTTTATACTGTCTAATCGCCAATTGAGTTGAAATTTGTCGGGTGCTTACTGTTGGATATCATCACTTACTAATTCTAAAATTTGTTCTTCTAGTTCTATTTGATCGTGTGGTCTTGGAGCACCGGCATGATCTCCTCTGTGAGGTCTTAAGTCACCTGATTCACGAGCTCTTTGCACTACATTAACAAAGGCACGAGGGGTTGGTTGCACTCGATTGGGAAGCCGATCCGCATAGATCCGTGATGCCGCGGCAGCATTTTGTAAAGACTCCCCGTAAATAAGAACCATGTCCACAAGTTCAGCATTTTCGTAAACATGTGCCATTTTTGATTTGAGCCTCGCAACAGACACGATTATTCACTTACGCGTTACCGACTACCGACTGATACTGACTGTATACAACTGAAGAAAATAATTGTAAAAAGATCGTTCCAAATTCTTTCGCTTTTTTGTTTCCGATGCGATGAACGGATAAGGCGGATTATATCTGTTGTTGCCAAACACGAGAACATAATATCATTATTGAGACAGGGCGGTACTCAAACTTCCAAAGGGCTATAACTTTGTTACTTTAATTTTACCAGAAAAATGGTAAAGGAAAAAAACATTTCTTTTGATCAGATCTACTCACTGTTAAAATAAATGACTCAACTTCGAAGTCACCCTGTATATTTTTGGAATCAGAATCAAAAACACTATTCATCTATGCAAAAATCCAAAATGGCGTCGTATCGTCAGTCGTTCCCACAATTGTAGGACGCCTTTATGGCCTCCTTGATTACCCTAGTCTTTTCTGTCTTTCCGAAAGGCTAGGGGTATTGAGGCTATGTTTTCTTTTTGAACTGTAGGAAATTTTAGGCTCATGAGACAGATATAAATCAAAAGTATCAACAATTTGAAGCAAATATATATTTGTGATATAACCTCAAAATAGAGCGTTGATACTAAACAGTAGAAAACTATGAAAATTAAGGAGGTCATAAAGGTGCCCTACAATGAAACGTCGTATTGAAATTCTAATTATGGCAGCTTGTAGAGGAGAAAAAGTGGAAATGTTAATGTGCGATTTATTTTGGAATCCCACTACAAGTCGGCAAAAAATTAAGACTTTCTAAACGGCATCTTGTTGATTACGTAAATACGCAACTTTTCCCCCATTCAAGCGATTTCGTAGGTAGCAGTTTCCGAGATCCCAATGATGAGGGTCGAATTTGAAACACCTTTTATTACTATTGATTTTGTTCTTTCCCAAAAATACTAAATACTGTACCGTTAAGTATCTAAATAGGTTACAAAACAATAAAAATATTTCTAGGCATCATTACCAGAACAAGACAGGCATGATACAAGTTTGATTTACAACAAAATGACTTTAAAAGAGCTGTCGAGATTAGTGCCTCAAATAAGGTGGTTAGAGTATTTCAGAACGATGTTCGATATTGCAATTACCGAGAACGAGAATATCGTTACGTATGGCTTGCCATATTTTGTGGAATTGGGAAAAATTTTAGCGACGACAAAAAGACGGTAATTTATTTTTTACATAAAAATCCTTCATTTTTAAAGCTTTAAGGTGACAGTGGAGCCCTCTGTGGTGTCAACCCTAATTTAGAGTTAAGAAGGGTAAATACAAAATCGTCCTCACCATTTCTCGTTACAAAATACCTTTTTAACATAGTGACAAATGGGAAGGAAAAAATGATCGGAAAATAATTTCAAGCAGAGTGTAGCTTTTGGCTGGGTGTACGTAAATTCGAACATAATTTGAATCATTTAGCGGTGATTGAACAAAAGCATAACATCAATATAGGTCTCAGATGCTTGTAAATTACTGGCTGTCAATTTTAGGTTGCTTTGAAGGAATTTTACTGCTATTCAAGGCATAACAGTGATATTTTGTAGGACTATTCATAACTACGTGATATGGCGCTTAGTGATGTCACTATCTTCATTTTTGATAGACGATTATCAAAAAGAAAGGGTAGAGTTTCGACAAATCCTTCAAGGTGTTTTGTCGGAAAGGCACAGATGGTCACAATGTGTGGAATGGGTGAATAAGAAAATGGGTATGGCTGTTGGTGCTTTATACGTTAGGGACCATTTTAATCCAGATAGTAAGGTGAGTTAGGTGTACCTATATTTCAATCAAGGTTTTATCGCGTAGTAGTTAATCAGTTTGTTAGCAATGCGTAATGAAATCACAAATATTGTTGTTACTATTTTGGACAAACGATCATTTAAAAGCATCGTAGGACTGGCCTCTGATCAATTTTTCATTTCATGGCTAAGCTAGCTGCTCGTTTCGTAAGTCGACTTTATCAAAAATCGATTTTTATAACTTGCTATTGAAGGAGACAGCTCTTGAGATGATTCATACTATTAGAGAAGCCTTTAATGAATTGTTAGCAGAGAATGAATGGATGGATGAAGAAACAAAAAAAGTAGCTAAACAAAAAGCAAATGCTATGAATGAGAGAATTGGGTATCCACAGATGATAATGGATAAAGAAGAACTCTGTAAGGAATATGAATTGGTAAGATTATTTAAGGATCATCTTAGAACACTTGAGATCATTATCACAATCTTTAGGTAGGGGGTAAAAAAAATCAAATTTTTTTATTTTCTTATTTTGAACTAAATCGAAAGTTATTTTGTTTTCTAGAGATAAAAATTAAATAAAACCCTGAATTTTTGTGAAAAAACTTACATTCTTTTTTATATATGTGCTTACCTGAGTTAACTCGGGCAATAAAAAAAAATATTTATTTGAGGAACAAACCTAAGATAACACATCTAAAACTTAAAAATTATATGTAAGTAAAAAAACATTTTTCTAAATATTTGCAACTGAGTGGTAAATCCTAAGGCATGGAGTCACACACAAGGGGGTTTCGCAATCTACACAGTAATATCTGGTTTCTCTTCTAATTTTCTTTCCGCGTTCATCTCGAGCCCTGCTGAAAATTCCACATTGCCTGGTTGGATTTGTCTTTTTCTCAGTAGCTAGAATAAGATCTGGAAAATGTCGTCCTGTCAGACGAAGCGGAGTGAGCTGGGTTGAAGGTCGTCCTGTTCTTGGAGTAAATTCAGTGTGATGATATTTTTCCATTTTATAATATTTTTTACCTCTCCTTCTTGGTAAGGTATAGTCAGCCAAGTGCTGGTCCACTCGGTCCCCTCCACCCATGGTATCGTTATAGTCCACAACCACTTTTGGTTTGATTTTTTTCCCTTCGCGTTTCTACCTCGACACACTTGTTTGTATGAACAGTGGAAATAAGAGAGATATCTTTTTTATCTTTCCACTTGATCAGAGACACTTTACCTCTTTAGAATCCAAATACTTCGTCCTTTTTCAATTTATTATCTTTCAGCTCACTAGGAACCTCCTTTCGTGTCAATTTTACTGTTCCATAAACATCGGTTTTCTTGCTCAGCAATAAATTCGCTAGTTGTGGCGAATTATAAAAATTATCCATAGTAATACAATAGCCCTGACTTAGCAAATCCCTGGACAGCATCATAACTACCTACGATAAAACTGGAAGATCAACATACTCTTGCTCCAGATTTGTATGTTTCCCCGTATAAATAATAAAATTCCATACATAGCCGCTTTTGGACTCACATAACATATATGTTTTGATGCCAAAACGTGCTCTCTTCAGAGGAATATATTGGATCCAGCCAAGTCTACCTTTGTATAATAAAAGACTTTCGTCAATTGCCACATGTTTCTCTGGAGTAACTGTAGCTCGAAATTTATTCACTAACTTGTCGCATATCGGCCATATCTTATTGAGCTTTGGGTTTGGGTGGTGCTCAGCGTCAAAGGTCTCGTTATCAGCAAAATGTAGATTTGACATGATTGCTTCAAATCTTTTATTGCTCAGGCATTTTGCAAAAAAAGGTGTCAGTAATAAAGGATTTCTAGACCAATATTGCCTCACTTCAGGTTTTTTTATAATACTTTGAAGAATTATAAGCCCCAAAAATACTCTCATTTCACCAGCAGTTACTGGGAACCATTTTTTGAATTTCTTTTGGATCGCATATCGATTGGTTTCAGTAACAATGTGATCGATTATCTCAGCATCAAAAAATTGTTAAAAAAATTGCAGTAAACTGTCCTCATCATTCGAGCGAAAATGGACACTAGGTCTGGCAGAAAATGGAAAAGCTGGCGGTTCCGGGGAATCAGGCCCTAACTCGCACCAATTACGCCCAAGCAACACATTTTCAGAGTTACTAGAATCAGAACTCGTCGTTGAAACATCCAAACTTGTACCTGACCCACTCTCATCGACGACACCTTCGATATCAACCCCATCGAAACTTTCATCACTGTCGCTCTCCATCGTTCAGCGTACAATAAAACAAAACATAAATTGTACGGCAATCAATCCCCTATTACAACCAAATACTAACTACTAAATAACGCGGCGATACCGGCGATGCGCGTAACAAGGTAAACAAGTTATTTTCCGGCAGTAAAAATGCCTATAAACGAATAAATCGTATTATCTCGGGTAGGCACACAAGATACCTAATAATTTATTTTTGCCCGTGTTAACTCGGGTTGGCGAAAATATGAGAGACGAGCTTACCCGAGATATCTCGGGTAAACACGTTAAGCGGTTAATGCGATACCGAATCAAATAATCTATTCTACTTCTTGCAGTTGAATATAACTAAACATGAGTTCCTGAAAAACATGCTGGATGCATTGAGGTTTGAAGCCCAACAGAATTTCAACAAATTAAGGCAACCAGTAGATAAAAATAAATGGTCAACAGATCCCGCAGTTGTAAATGCTTTCTATAACCCGAATAGAAACGACATTGGTAAGTTATCAGTTAATTGGTGGTGGATGTGAAAATTTATAATGGTGACAATTTTCAGTGTTTCCGGCTGGAATCCTACAACCACTATTTTATAGCCAACATTTTCCAAAATCACTAAACTATGGTGGGATTGGTGTTGTTATCGGTCACGAAATTACCCACGGCTTCGATGATAAAGGTAATGTCGAACAGTGTTAATCTAAAAATATTTCCACAATGCAGTTGTTTGTACTATTGTTATGCTGTTATTGTATACTGGGTGCTCAGAATATTAATGATAATATCATAATAGAATACAAAATTATATGTACTCAGTGACAAAGAAAATTATTTTGTTTGAATAAAATACAGTAAATTACATAAATGGGAGCAAGTCATGTATCTCTGGATTTCCCTAATACGAGGTTAGTTCAAAAAGTATCGCAAATTTTGAATTTTCGCGGGCTACGTATGTTCGATTTGCGATGTTTTTGTGGCGTTATGTTGGTACTCATGACCCTTACTAATTTTGACAATATCGGCCATTTTGAATGTTCAGTCAGTTTTTAACAGCTATTGTGCGTGGACATGTTTTAGCTTGTCTCCGCAGTGAAGTGCGCGAACATATTCCAAATGTTGACTGTTGCATACGGCAAAGCTACTTTGGACAAAAGCAACGTTTATCGGTGGTAAAAAAATGTTCCCAAAGGGTCGAGAAGATGTTAGCGACAAAAAGCGTTCCGGACGCCCAAGCACGTCAACAACAGACGAAAACATTGATGAGTTCTTGCCGCAGGGTAGAACGGTCAATAAGTAATGCACAATTTGCGAGAAGCAATCCGCCAGTAACGCCCCGATTTGTGGAATAACAAAAACTGGATTTTGCACCATGATAACGCCCCTGTTCATGCATCGTTACTTGTGCGCGAATTTTTGGCCAAAAGCAACACTCCAATAATGCCTCACCCAACGTATACCCCAGACCTTGCCCCTTGTCATATATCTGTGATATGGTTCTAAGTCGCCTCTGCTACTCGTATTCAAGTATTAATCTCGGTTGTTGTCTAGTTTCTGACCAACCAGGTCTCACAGATTCGACTAACGTACGTTAGACAGTGACTAATGGGTTAAGGCCCTACGGACTTCCCAGACAACTACTGTCAGGTCTGGCTACCCAGATACCAAACATGTTTAAGGGGAGAAGGGAAAGAAGGAAAGAAAGGAAGGCAGAAATAGAGTAAAGAGAAGAAGTAAATCATTTGAAATAGCGTAAGCATTATTGCTTTGACTACTCGAATTATTTTGTAACTCCAAAAAATAATTTTGATCGGTTTTGTATACTGAAATAATTTTGGCTGGTCTGAATTTACAATTTCATTTTGATCACAGTGCGAGGCGCGGCCTGGATTGTTTGCGAACTTGCTCGACTGTGTAGTCTACTGAATCACGCAACAGAGGGTTTCTGTGCGATTGCATAATCCCCTAGATATCGGATATCAAGATCTCTGTGAATGGTCTCATTTGACGAGTACCAAGGGGCGTTAGTAATTTTGCGTAGGGTTCTGTTTTGCAGGACTTGCAGTTTCTGCATGTGCGTCTTGGCAAGAAAACACCAAGCCGCGCATGCGTAGGTGATTGCAGGTCTCATGACCATTTTATACAATCGAATCTTGCTGATCACACTTAATTTTGAATTTTTGCACAACAAAGGATAAAGCTGCCGAATGGTAATTTGGAATTTTGTTTTCAAAATATCAGTATGTTTCTGCCAGGTCAACCCCTTGTCAATGATGACTCCAAGATACCTGACAGATGTCTCGCGTCGTTTTTTAGTACAATAGATTGCCTGCGTTTTCGAAGTATTAATTTTGATCAACCTGATCAGCCCACTCCAATACTTCCTCCACCGCACTCTGCAGCCTGTCGTGAACCAGGTTACCAGAACATGACTGGGCTAGCAATGCAGTGTCGTCAGCATAGAGATAGACTTCACAGTTGCTGGGGCAAGGGACGTCATGTATATAAAGTGAATAAAGGATTGGTCCTAAGACCGAACCCTGAGGAACACCGGCTCTTGCCGGCCGTATTGTTGACAACACATTGTTAATTTTGATCCGAAACTTCCTTCCTTCTAGAAAAGATTTCAACAGTTTTAGTAGCCAAAATGGAAAACCCCTTTGGATGAGCTTATACAAGAGGCCCATGTGCCACACCTTGTCAAATGCCTTTGATACATCTAAAAGCAAGATACCAGTACTTTTGTTCAGGGTGAACCCCCTGGGTACATGCTCCAGTAGTCTAACTGCCTGTATCTCCGTACTATGCTCAGACCGAAAGCCGAATTGCACCTCAGGAATCACATGGTGATCTGATGAGAAATTCTCAAGGTGACGATAAATCACCTTTTCAGCGAGCTTAGAAGGAGCTGACAGCAGACTAATGGGACGGTAATCCTGGGGGAATATCGAATCTGCCTTCTTTGGGATCATGATGACTTCCACGCCTTAGGAAAGTAATGAGTTCTGAGCATTGCATTGATTATTGCCACCAGATAAGTCAAAGCCTTGAGCGAAAGCAACTTCAGTGCTTTGTTGGTGATTTGATCCTTTCCAGGTGCTTTACTCACCTTTAGGTCCTTAATGTGGTCATGGACCTCTGGTGGTGTGCGAAACGGAATCTCAGAGGATTCCGTTGATATGCTATGCTGAGATTCATCTGAAGAGTAGAAGAATCTTCTGAAAAGGAGTCACCGATGCTAGCACCGATGTTGGTATCGCCATTCGCTCTGATATCTCCTGACACATCTTACAATTTGTCGTTCCTCGTCAAGGTCATTGTCCATGACGTCAGCAAAAACCTCCACTTCATCCTCAGTCCTGAAAACTATGCCTCCAGGACCATAAATATGTGGTAGTTGTTCTTGCCTTCCATTTCTGAGCGATTTTGCCACTAGAGTAGAGGCAACAAATGTATCAGTGATTTAAGAAATGTTTTTAAAGTGCAAATGTCCAAAGGTTAGACTCGGACAAAAGTAACGGATAGTCATTTTAATAAGTAGTATTTTATCCCATTTCCTTGAACATCTTTATTGAATACAGCTAAATATACCTGCTTCAAGTTCTGCGATATAAACCTAATGCTGTCCACTCTGAGTCCGTTGTATCCATTTTGAGTCACAAGAAGCGACTGTACCCGCACGCCCGCTGACATTTCAGTTACATTTCAAAAATGTCATGAGGACAAAAAAAATCTAAAATTCGGGTTTCTAAGATTTATATGTATCTTTCTGTAGCATGAGAGGAATAACAGGCTCTTTCTTGGATAGATCAACTTTAGTGTTGGAAATAGATATACTCATATACATTGCAATCACAGCTTATTATCTACAACAACAAAATTGGAACAAAGACATAAGATAAGCATTGAGCCCACTGTATTCACGCATTCCATAGCTCGGAATCCGTAGATGTTTGTCTTGAACTGCTTCAATAATACTTTTGTCAGCGGTCAACCTTCATCATTGACCCCCTGGCTCTACCCACTGATCATGTGTTGGACATGATAGGCAGAATAGTGACCTCTTTATATTATCCTCCACAAGCACTAGCAGCTTGTTAGATGAGATACCACAAAAAGACACAAATCACCTCCTCAGAAACATCCTTCAGCGACAGGTCAAATTTATACGGTATCGGGGTAACATTAGTGGCTAGCTGCTTCTCAGGTCCCCATTTCAAAATGCGCTATCCAACTGTGGCGAATCCCAAATGGAAGTTTTCTCAGTTAGAGGACGAAGATCATCGGCAAAAGATAAATTTATGTAAAACCGTACTTGCCCTAATAACTGTTTGAAGTGCAAGGGGTAAAATAATTTTTTGGGGCGAGGCGAGTACTGTGAATGCAAAAATTGTAAAAATTTTAATAAATGTTTTTGTTTGCTTTATCAATGTCTACAACTCGTAAACCCATGTGGAATCATGTAGGTAATGCTAATTCATTTTTTGAAATCGTTTAAATGGCAGCGGTATCATAAGTCAATTAACATTGTTAAGGATAATCAAGCATCTTTGTGGAGAGGTTCCAATTTTTTGAAATATCAAGATTTGCTTTCATCGTTTCTGATTGCTTCAGGCTAGGGCATATTCAAAAACGTTATGGAACTCAAACATTTTGTTTCTTTAGCAGTGCTTACCTTGACTCATGGAAAATTTGAAAATAGACATAGGTGGAAACTTACCACTATTGTTTTCGGAAAGTTTTTTTGTTAAACCATCCATAGCGGAAGACGATTTTAGTGTTTCGAAATTTTCTGCCTCTGGAGACAGTACCATGCTTGATAGTCAAAGCTGCCTCATAGAAGTTCCAGGATACATATTTAAATTACCTTCAATTTCTTTCAGCAGTTGCAGTTGCAATGTAGAAGGTTAGAAATAGGAAGCATACTACTGTCACCTAGCCATACAATCTAAGGTTTAGCGCTTGAGAATTTTTAATTTAGCGTTAGGCCTAAAAACTTGCGTGAGATTGTGAAAAACACTTTCGGTTCCTGTAAGCGGGGGGCCCCGTGTCATCAATATGATTGATACAGCGGTAGCTACGCCCCTGCGTAACATTATCCAGCAATACATCAAATGTTTTAGCTTCACAATTTAATTACGACATCCTCTTATGTCTAACTAGACTGAATTTGTAAATTTTTACAGAGTGTACTCTGTACTACACTGCAACAATTTGGCATCCGTAATTGTTTGAGGTACCTGTTGGATGCGTTCGGAAATAGAAGAAAGCAATCCTTCTTCCGTGCTCAAAACCTTGGGGATATGATTGTTGTCCCTTGTCATTTATCTGGTTTTCAAAAAGTTCTCAAAATTGGCAAAATATATTTTTCGGGATAAATGGGCTACCTCGTCTCCATAGGGTTTCTTTTAAGAAATACAATGGTCACGGAATACGTTAGAAATTAGTCGGCTGTGATCGGGCGTCATTACCTACGTGAATCTGTAATAATTCAGGCGTTCTAAGAATAAAGTTTCATAGCATTCCAGAGTAAATTACATCTGTCAGTCTACATATTCCATTACTGTGACCGGTAATACATTAAGAAGTGGTTTACAGACGTACCCCTGCATGTGAAATTTAGTCCAATCAAATTATTTATACTCGGTGTTCCAGTTTCTTTGTCACTGTACTCAGTTATTTTGCTAGGTTTAGGTGTTCCTAGTTATAGACGAACTTATAAGCTCCGAAAGAACGCTGCTAAAAATTGATTTTGATTCAACCAATATAGCACCAGTAACCACTAAGTAAATCATCTGTATTTTCCTGCCAAAAAAATGAATGTTTTAGGTAGGCAGTTTGACAAAGATGGCAATATGATGCAATGGTGGAATGATAAAACCATAAGGGCATTCAGAGATAGAACGCAATGCATGATAGACCAGTATTCTAGATACAAGATCAGTGAAGTTGATCTTTATGTTAATGGTAGAATGACACAGGGAGAGAATATAGCTGATAACGGTGGTTTGAAACAGTCTTTTCGGGTAAGTTCCTCGTTGCTTTGCACTCTTGTTATTATCATTTTGTTCACTAGTGCAATTATTAGTAATGTTCTAGCATCACATTTCCAACGGCTTGACACCGACGAAGCATGCGCAGTGGAGTAAACATGTTCAAGCTAGGATAACTCCTAGTTGTGGAATATCGGTCTGCTGTTTCAGCAATCCAATTTTAGGTTTGGAAAGTAGTCTCGGAGGGTGAAACAGTTCACAGGATTTTGGCGGAACTCTGAGTTCCTAACATGCGTAAATCGCACAAGATCTTGTTGATGATGATCTTTGTTATGGGTGCTTTATGATTTGGGATTATGGTTTTTGAATTTTGTTGAGGAGTGTCCGTTTTTCTTAGTTTCGTTGCAACTATATGTATCAATTGAAAAGATTGAAGCCAGATAACCGTTTTTAAAAAAAATTGTGGGTACTAGTTTTTTATTGCGTATATCCGCGCACCATCCGCCACACACTCTGCCACAGCTAATCCACGAAGTTCGAGTAACTTGAAATGAGGTACCACAACCAGACATCGATCATCTCATTTTGGCGATGCCTAGACGTATACAAGAGTGAATTCAGCTGCGGAGTCGCCCAACACATTATTATTTTTTTCTTACTACTTATCAATAAAATTTTACTCGAAAAGGAGTAGTCTGACAAACATTTTTTGAGATAAGCGATTGATGTAAAAAACTTATACAAAAATGTAATATATCTTTTTGTCCTGTATAGGTCAAAATTCGACAATGTCTTTGCCAGGCCCGACCATTTTTGTATGTATTGTACTATTAGTACATATTACATATATATAATTACAAGTAAATATTTTTTATTTTTATTTTTTTTTAATCACTGAATTTATGGGTGACCCCACTTTTACAAAATAAAATCAAAAAATGGGAACTACATTTAAAACATGCTACCTCACAAGAGATTATTATAAAAATCACAATTTAAGAGATAATTTTTAAAGCCTGAGAGTGTACAGGTAAAGATGTCGATATCAGACTGAGCCAAATTGATAACACGAATTGCTCTATCGAGTGGAGAGTGCTGACCATAATTTGTCTGATGGAACTTAATCGCAAGCAGATTACGCAATGTTCTACGTGGTACATTAGGATTTATCAATGTTCACAAAGTTTCGCAATCGGTGAGCCCCAATAAAATCTTGAAAGCAAAGCAACCATCAAAGACCTAGCTGGAATGTAGGTAAACGCAGATGTTCCAATATGTCAGCTCTATGATATTTAGTCCTGTTTAAGTTCATCTTTAATGCTGCAAGTCGTAAAAATGAATACTGGACACGCTCTAAATCATCTTTATAATACTGGTACTGAGGAGACTATACTACTGTGGCATATTCTAGATTTGATCTTACCCTGGAGCAGGATAAAATGCGGAAGGTATGATTGAAAAACACTTTTCTGCAAGCGAAACCCAGCATATGCATGCCCTTTACACTAACTTTGATAACATGGTCTGAAAAGTTAAACCTTTCATCAAAAAGCACTCCAAGGTCGGTAGCGGTAGCCTTATAAGAGAGGGTATCATTATTTCATTTATAGCCAGTCGAAATTCTACTCCTACTTTTGAAGAAATTTATGAAAAAGCATCTATAGAGTTCAGATACAAGTGAAGCTGTGTCCTCTGCCACAGCGCATCAAGGTCCCGCTGATGGCCCACCATGTCATGTTTCACCTCGATTGTCCTGTAAATTTTCGAGTCATCAGCAAACGTAGTTCCTTTAGAATGAATAAGAACATCAGGGATGTCATTCACAAACAAAATGAAGAGGAGAGTAGCACAATGGGTCCCCTGAGGAACCCCTGATGTAATCTTGAAGTTCGAAGATAAATGCCCATCGATTTTTACAGATTGAGTCCTACCCTTAAGGAAGCTGCCTAACCATCTTATAGTTGTTTTCTGAAAAACCATATGCTGACAGCTTTGTCAGTTAAAATGTCGAAGTTCACTCTGTCGAAGGCCTTGGAAAAGTCCATGTAGATTGCATCCACCTGGTGACCCTTTTTCAAGGCCTCCAACAGATCAACTGTATAAGAGAACAAATTCTCCACAGTTAAGTTGATCATATATAAAGCTATTCGGAATTGATGACTGGGTACATACACCTCTATAGTTTCTTATATATTCAACGTGACCTGACTCAAAAATTGGCTCATTATAACTGTGCTTCCAAGTGTCAGGAAAAATGCATGGACATGTTGAAAATAATATGTAAAGGTTTAGTAACTGTAAAGATGTATTCTTTGAGAAATACCTCAGGAATTTGGTCAGAACCTGAGCGGAACATCACTGGGAGACTTACGATTTTATTAAATACTTCCTCAAGAGAAAATTTGTTCAGTAGTACATCTCTTGTCTTCTCAAATAAAAAAAGAGGGTATAGGATACACAGAACTATCGTATACACCACTAAAGTGGTTTGCAAACAAATTACTCATTGTCATGCCATCTTGCACTTTAACTCCCTCCAAGTGACTATTAGGTAAGCTACTTGAATTTCTTAAACTCTTTACATATCCCCAAAAGCGCCGTAGATCGGCTACATACGATTCCTGAACTCGATCAATATGAATTGCATGACATCGCTTATGTTCTTCTTTACATAAAGAGCGTAACTCTCAGAAAGTCACAACTGATGGGCAATCTTTTTTCGACAGACTGTATCTTTGAGTTCGGGGCTGAACCATTTGGGATTTTTTATCCGCTTCTGAGGCTCAAACCAATCCAAGCAATTTTGTAAGAATCCATATGACCAAATAATGCATCCCAGTCACAAGATGCTAAATAATCATTAATTAAAGTAAAGTTAGCATTTGTAAAATCGTAAAAAACTCATCAAACTCAGATTGACTACACTTTGCTAAAATTGTAAAGGCATAGGCTATGTGGTGTACAGTCTCTGGCAATAAAATATCATAAGCAGGTAACAAATTGATACAAAACTAGAAAATAATAAATCTAAAAAGACATTACGCTCATTCGGAACATTACTGAGGTGTAACATATTGAGATAGGAGAATGTGTCTGCCAATCAAGTGCCGGTGAATTCTTAGGGCAATGGACAAAAGTATCATCATTATTCCAAGGTGCCTCCGGAAGATTATAATATAGACGGCTCCAAAAAAGATGGTTTTCTTGGAAACAAATAGCTGTTCAACTTCTTCAGTGGACAACTGCAGTTTACGGGACCTTAGACCACTAGACACACCAATAAACACTCCACCACCACGCCCTTTACCACTAGTAGAAGCACTACGGTCTGAAGACGTTGCATCTTTGAAAATTATGTTCACTGGTTGAGGATTCATTCAACAAGTCTCTAGTAAGATGATGACCGAGTAATCACAGAGATTTATAGCCTCCTTAAGAGTACTACCAATTTTTGTACGAAGTCCACGAATTTTTTTTTGACAATAGCAGCTTCTCATTTGGTCATCACGTTCAATTAGTTTTTTGAACTAGAAGGGTTATCAATTTTAGAAATGTAGCTAATGCCATTGCGATATGTAATCTTCTCTTTCTTTCCTTATTTTCAAGTCACTAAAGCGATTATTTAACTTTGCCTCCTGGAGTTTAGTAAAATCTTGCTTTATTGTAAAATTATTGCCAATTAATTTGTTCTTATTACGAAGGCCTTCAATGCAAAGAACTGATCATCATTGAAAATAACCTTAACAAGGTTTTGCTCTGTTTTTTATACTCCAACTACCACGAAGGCCTAAGCACCCATTGGGTACCGTGGGGCTATAGGGGGATACATGGGAAAGGGGGGACGCCACACGGACTCTGGCGAGGGAACACGTGTGCATGCAACATGCTCACATTCTAGCTCCGCCTACGAGAACCGCCGGGTGGTACCTCCGCGTTCGACAGTCAAAGACCATCTACCACCTACGGACAATCACAACATCTATAGCCAAGAGAAAAATTTCTCCTGGGACGGGACTCGAACCCGCACAGCGCACGGCGACTGATCAGGAGACCGAAGAGTCTACTACTGCGGCCACCGCTGCTGCCTTTGTTGGGTTTTCCAATTCTAATAAACTTGGTGCAACCAAATCAACTTCCACGACTCTTAAAATATCAGCAGCACACGACTTATCATGATTGATACGCTCTAAGGTCACAGCAGATGGGTTTTCATCAATGTTGTAAATAATGATGTTTTTGGCACAAGCACCTCTATGTTGCATTTCACTTTAAAGGTCAATGTTATCAGATGTTTCCATCAATCTTTCGACAACCTCAGCATGAAAATTGGCCTTTTGATCGACGAGAATGTTATCCTAGACAAAACTACGAAGCTCGGCTGTGTCTCTCTCCAAATTAACAATTTTGTCTTCCTTTTCACGTTGCCACAACTTCAACTCATCTAAAGCATCTTGAAATGCTCCAACAAAAGATTGAAAACTTGCGAAATTGCCGATAAAACATCTTTATTAGTAGCATTAGATTTGTTTAGCAAGTTTTCGATTTGATTGTTAACCACAAAGCCAGATTTTGCAGAGTCGGCAGAAGTGGCCTACACTTTAGAAGATGTATCAAAAGGGACAGAACTTGATCAATTTTTTGAAGAACGTTTTCTATCTTCAACATTTTTACATGAATTACATTGCCAGTCATGTTGGCCTGTTTTCCTATGAAGAGCTGTTATTTTAGTGTGTTGGGCACAAGCTTTATGGAACCATGAACAGCAAACAGAACATTCCACAGAATGCTGATTTGTTTTATGTGCGATCTCATACGAACCAAAAATTTTCCGTGATCGACGACATTTCCTCAGTTCAAGAGAAGTGATAATCAGCAATCACCTAATTCACGCCGATACACAACACTTGATCAACGAGTAGATGCGACTTGTTAGAACGGGATTATCCGACATTCATGCAGTTTTTTCCTTCTTCACCATAACTAAGCGTATCAGGCCACAGTAATTTAATTTATAGTCCACTAGTTCAAGTATAGGAAACCGATATGGTGAGCTGAATGTTACGATAGCGTTCACCAACACTATAAAAGTAACTTTTTACAAAATATGGTATTAAGCCACAGTTATTCCCGTAATGTCGATTAAAATTCGCGAAAATAAACAACGCGTGACACGATGTTCTCTCTCTCTCTTTCTCTCTCTCTCTCTGTCATTTTAATCAATTCCAAATTTATGTTTTTTCCAGTTTAGAAGTTATAACTTCAACATCTCGCTAAGGGGGGCATTTCAAACCCCATATTTATATGCCCTAGAAATATCGCACCTGTTTTCTGAAACACCCTGTATATGTGGGGGGCTATTGGAGCTTTGAATTGAGAACTGTTGGCTTTTGGAAAAGCAAATTAGCTGTACGGGAAATTATGAAAACCAAACTAATCATTTACATCCATTCACAATTTTTAGTTAAAGTTTGAGATAATGAATTTTTAAGTTTTTTCTGCTTCCATCGCATCTGGAAAGGTAGGTGCCCACGTAACATGAATACATGTGGTACCACTTTTGCGGTCGAATTGTAGAAATGAAGGAGAATATAATTTTAATACAACGCTGGATATTATAACTTTTCTGCAGAATACGATAATTTGAGCACTTCAAGGTTGTGCTTGCATTAAACTTGGAATCCAGGTAGCATCGGAATATAAATAAGACTTAAATCTGCTAAAAAAGATTCAACTGGCTCAACCTTCTCGTGATATTTTATCTTGTCCTGAGCTTTGTTTTACTTAAGATGTAAGGAGACATCGACTGAATGATCTGTAATGTCAAAAATAGCTGTGAAAAATCTCATAGTACCTTTCACACTGTTCAATATCGGAATCCCTCTAGCAGCATCCTGCCAAAAAATTCACATAAGTGTGTGGTATTTTGTCATTGACATTTTTAATGTACTTTAAACTAGAGGTGGGCGAAAATTTAGTATAGCAAAACATTGAGATTTATTGGGTTCATGATACTTACAAACACTTTACTGAAAATGTTCACTCAGTTATCTGCTTTAGGCTTACAGAAAATGGGTTTCGCAGTACGGCGAAGAAATGGACCTGCCTGGCTTAAACCTGACCCACGACCAGCTGTTCTTTCTAAACTACGCTCAAATCTGGTGCGGCTCTATGAGACCTGAAGATGCCTTGAGCAAAGTGCGATCCAGCGTTCATTCTCCAGGACCCATCCGTGTCTTGGGACCGCTTTCTAACTCACATGACTTCGCTCGGGCATACAACTGCCCTTTGGGTTCTCCTATGAACCCTACTAGCAAGTGCAGCGTCTGGTAGATTTTGGTGATTTGAAAAATTGTAATAAATGCAAAGATTTTCGGTCGAATATATATGGTACAGATGGCTAGACAAGGAGCAAGCCTTGTTAATGAAGCAAGATTTAATTGAGAAAGCTATGAAAGGTTACTCAGATGATTGCATAAGTTCAAAATGAAGGTATTCGTATGAAGATCTCTTTGCAAAAATGGAGCAGATGAAGGTAGTACGTAGTACGTACGCCTTAAAGCTGTATGACAAAGTTATTCGCAAATGCGCATCATGTTCTTGTTGTCGTTGTAAATACTTCAGCCGCGGAGCCAGGAGTAATGGGGTCATGGGGGTCGTGACCCCCCCCCCAGGCGAATTTAGTTCGACCACCAATTTTAGATGTTCCAAATAGGTGAATCTGTAATGCACACATATTAAATGGATGCTGTACTGGTATTTTCTACTAAACACTGGCAGCACTGCTTCCGTCAACTTTGATTTAGCTGTAAGCAAGCGTAAAACTGGTTGCTTATGCGGTCAGCTTGATGTAGGAAAAAGTTCTTCGCGCGCGCTTAAGATGTAAGCAACTTTGATAAAAAAAACTTTTTGACGGACCGGTGGCGGATTTAAGGAAAAGGGCCCGGTCGGCAATAAGCACTGGGGGTTGTATGATCGGGGACGGACGGCAAATAGTGCGAACTATAACTGTTTTGCGAATAACATAAATTACTGAAATCTTTGACAGATAAAATACGGCAATGGAAACTTTGAAAATTGCATGATAACCCAGAAATTAATATCAAAATTTAATGCGTAATGTCATGTTAGTGCAATCGTACATCAGCCTCGTTTTTGTATTTAATAGTGCGCACGGGCACGGGACAGGTTGTAATGCGCATCGTAATTTTTTGAAGTAAATTAAACTTGATGATTCACCATCAAACTTCTTGTGCATAATAGAGTTTAAAAGCTATGACGGATGCTACCGATAAGTAAAGGGCGTTGAGGCAAATTTGGAGTGCACGCTATTTATAGAATTTGCATAAAATTATAAGTACGAAAAATAGAACAAATATGATCGATAGTTGTTGTCATGTTTGCCGTGATTAATACATTGAATACAAACTTGGTGAACAACACTAAAATACGTTAAATAACGTGCATTACTACAGGATATATACTGGGCACTATTTGCAAATTAATGAAGGCAACTGAGAATAAAACAATTAGAAAGACCTGCACAAGTAACCGAAACAAGCTCATGGATAGAGCAAATGCTTTTTTAATAGTAATTTGATGCAAAAAGTTAATCTGATGCTGCTTCAACGTGCCAATAAAACAGCTAATTCAACTGTTTCAATATTCACGCGGATCTAAAATTATTCGATAACGTAAAATCCATCTAAATCGTTCAGATAAAGTTCGAACTACAGATTTTGCTGGCAATAAGGATGTCACATATTAACAGGGGCTCACAATTATATGCACAATAGTAGCTGCTGCGCGCTGCTACCTGTGTTTTTTTACTATATGTCTATAAAACTTGAATCAAGTAGAGACAGTGTGATCAAAGATATTTTATGCAATACAAAATAACAGAATTATTATAATTTGAATCCGCGTCTTGCTTTTCGTTCAGCAAAAAGTTCCATCACAGAATCCAAATTGAGTGTATTAACTACTGATCTTTCGATATAGAGGATAGAGCAGTTGTTGAGTGTGTCTTTAGCCAAAGAAGCTCGACGGTATTCTTTAATAATTTTCAAAGAGCTCATGACTCCTTCAGCACTAGCTGAACCGATAGACAAAGTCAAAAACAATCTGAATAAAGCAATTGATAATACATTAAAAAAATTTCTTCCAAGATATTATCACGAAGAAAATAGATATGTCATCAAATAAAAAAATGCACAGTATTGTGAAAGCTATAAGCATTAAAGACGTGAAAAGACTGTAAAGACGCATTAGAGTCTTTATTAGACTGAAAGAGGCTGTTTCTGATTCATACCACCAAGATATTTATTATATGCCAGGTAATAATACGAGTATATCACTGTAAGCACAAGATGAAAAAATCATCATTTAGTAATTTTTTTAGAAATGCAATAGTCATTTTTTTAAAAATTACTTAAGAAATGAAAGGGAAATTTTCTTATTCGAACTGAACGCTAACGCGCTATTTCATAAACATTACGCAGATGGTCATTAAAAGAATAAAACAACACTATGATTTCTTGATATCAATTTGACATTTTTGACCAGTGTGACCCCCCCCCCTGACACAAATCCTGGATCCGCTGTTGAAGTACTTTTGGAAAAACTTGTCAGTAGGTTAACTTCGTAGGCTATGTTTTTGCAAATGAGTTGTCGCTGTATTAGATTTGGAGTATTTCATAAAATAGAAGCCTCTCATCCCATCATAGTACAATTATTCCATGTTTGTTAAGAGCTGAACGTAGTCGTCACTAACCACGTGTAAACATATCCAGCTCAGTGTTCATAAAATTTGAAAAGCGGGATTTTACTCGAATGTTCGGAAATACTTGGAAATGTAATACAGTATTATCCCATCTGAATCTCTAAACATCAAATATTTTCAGTGTTGAAATAGAAGCTCTATCTCTAATTTTTGTACCAAGTAAATGATCGTTCTGCTCATGTATGTATTTTCCACTAAACTGTTATAGAGGTTGAATAAAATTATATGTATATAAAACAGCACGCTAACTATTGTATACTCAAGTTTTACACTTATCCTCTTCGATTGTTTTATTATTTATCTCATGTCACTGCTATTCGTAAGTCAATATAAGCTCGTTTTGCATTTAATTTTTTAAATATTTATTGACTTGTAACATTAATATAATCTGGAACAATAAATAAATCTAACGCTACATTTCTTTTTATTGTAACACCTTGTCAAAAAATCCAAAAGAACTACAAACATAACAATTTATTTACTACTGTATTTGTATACAAAGATGCTCCTAAATTGATAAATTATAGCCAGCATATACGTAGCCTTATAGAGATCGCTAATATAAATTATTCCAAAATTAACGTTGTCGTGTTTATTGTGTCTACATTTAATGTCAATTTAAAACATCAGTAAAAAATCAAATCTATATATGTGGTTTCATTTAACGGTAGAAAAACATGGTGAAAAATCAGCATCAAGACAATGGGATAAGTTTCAGATATTACGTTAAAAACGACTGCCTTACCTTGCCATGGCTGTCGGTAAAAACTTTTATCATAGATGTGCATAAGTGGACCTATGCGTAAAGGTTTAGTAAATATTTTACATAGCGAAACAGACGCTTGTACATGTTCAAAAAATTTATCATAATTTTCTTCGAGCAAATAATAGGCTCTTAAGTTTTGTACTCAAGTTTGAGACAAGTATAATTACAGAGTAGGCATACTAAAGGAATAACTCGAATTATAGATTTCCTTCTTGACGGTTTTAATGTTATATATCTGTCATATCACATTTTCAAAATATACATATACTGAGTAAACAAATACTACGTTTTTATTTCATGCAAAAGTATTTCGCCTTCTACGTACGTCTTTCTATCAACTTTTCCATTCTGTATCATTTCCTGTATTTCCGAGAAACTTTTATTTTTGGTTTCTGGAACCGCTATCGTACTATATATAGCTGCAAATATACAAAATAGGGAATAGAAACAAAATGTACCTGACAATCCTATCCAGCTATTAATAGTGTTATAATAAGAAGTAGTCAAAAAAGAAGTGATCCACGTTATACTTGTTATACTAGAAGCTGCTATGTGCTTTACATTAGTCGGAAAAATTTCCGATATTAGTGTCCATGGGACACAACATATCCCAAAGTTAAACGAAAAAATGTACAAAATGAGACTAAAAATCGGCACCCAGAATATATAATTAATGCTTATATCTGTTTCGTCTTGAATGTAAAAGAAAATACTGAGTAAAGCTAGTGCTAAAAACATTCCAATACATGAAGATATAATCAAGAATCGTCTTCCAGCTCTGTCAATTAAACAGGGAGATATCAGACTAGAGATCATAGAAGCAAAGCCGACTATAAGTGCGCAGACGCCAGAGTCCAAATTCGTTCCAGAAACTGCGAATATCATCTCTAAATGATACATTATAGCACAAAAACCTGATAACTCTTGTGTCAGCACCAAGATCAAACACATTATAAATATTTTCAGCAGCTTTCTGTTCGTCAGAATATCAAAAAATGATCCTTGCTGGTTATCATCTTGTTTCAGATTGGTTTTTATGCAGGACAGCTCACTCTGAATTTCATCCCTAGACTTAGATCGAAGTTTCATGAGAACATTTTCAGCTTCCCTGATTTTGTTTCTTTTGACGAGATAATAAGGCGATTCTGGTCCCGAAATCGAAAATATCACAAGGAAACTGGCAGGCAGACACGCCAATATCACATTAAACCAAAATATGGATATAAAAGGTCCAATAGCGTACGGTATAAAATTTCCAATTGCCCAGAACACGTTAAGCGTCTGAGACATTGCACCTCTGTTAGAGTCCTTCGATACTTCAGCTATATATAACGGTAAAAGGGCATATCCGCCTCCTATAGCTAGTCCTCCAATAGCTCTAGCAAAATAGTACCAATATAAATTCTTAGCCATGGCCAGAGTTAAGTACGATACGATGAATGGCACTGCTATAGCAATCAGGCCGATTCTTCTACCGAATTTGTCTGCAATGATGCTGAACGGGAAGCTTCCTACTGCAGCTACAATATTCAGCAATGAGGCGATCCAGGAATCTTCGTCTTTTGTGATTGGGCGTCCCAAGGGGTTGATGCTTGAGTCGTTGGACTGAAGTTTTGGTAACATCGGAGAGGTCCATGATAAAGCTATGTCGCCAGAGGTGGCTAAGAGGTCAACTGAAATAGAAAAATTTATTTACAACCTTATCGTGTAGTTCCGTTCCTGATTCATCGTGATTTTACTGAGTAACAATTAAAACAACGTGTCGAATAAATAAAGTGTTTATTGACATTCCAGTTATATCGGCCATTTTCAAGGTGCAATTTATGCATGACCTAAATACAGAGCAAAAATTCAAATTCTTAGAATATATTGATATAGAGTTGGTGGTATGTAATTATAATACTCCTATTTGTTATTATTATGCATTAACTTATTCACATGTTATATGGTTCAATTTTGCCTATTCGAAAGAATACTGGGTGTAACCGTTATGGTAGTCATTATTGAAATGGGTAATAGGGGAGCTCAAAATAAGTCAAAAAGTTTATATGACCCATGGTCCAAAAGTCAATAGATTTTGTCTAAATGGCTTTATAGTTTACAACGTTAAGTGCTTTATCACTACAATCTTACTAATTTTTATTATCTAATCTAAAACGTTTTTAAATTGGGTAATTAACAAATAAATGGCATTAAGCTTTTCTTAGTTAAGCCAAAATTTGTAGTCAGTAAGTAAGTTTCATTAAATTGAATATTTAAAACACACATGACAACAGCGCGTGGGTCATTCATCACTCTTGTCGAACCGGCAATCGATCGCAAACGGTAACAGTGGTTAGTATGTTGTTTTGTTTTTGTTTGCATAGGTCGTCGTGTTGATTAGCAATGTTCTCGATTCAAGAGTTCGCCGACATGTTGTTAGTTTACGGTGAAGCTCGTCAGAATTCAAATCTTGCAGTTCAAATTTATCGCGACAGATTTCGCCAACGGGTACACTCAGCTAGAAGGACATTTGTGCAAATGTACCAAAGACTTCGAGATACAGGAAGTGTTCAGCCCACTAATATTCGCACTCGTGAAAGCCAGGTTACCGTAGAGCAGGAGGAACACATTTTAAATATCGTGGAAATCAATGCAGATATCAGCTCTCGGAAATTAGGCCGCCGCGAAGGACTATTGCAGACCATAGTCCATAGAATCCTACGGGAAAATTTGCTTTATCCCTACTATGTACAACGAGTGCAGGCATTGTTACCAGAAGACTATCCTCGCAGACTTACATTCTGTCAGTGGTTTTTGGGCAAAAACATTGAAAATCCGGTTTTTTTAAAAACATTCTAGCGACGGACGAAAGTACTTTTACGCGAAATGGAACACTAAATTTCCGTAATACTCACACGTGGGCCCAAGATAATCCTCATACCATTCGTAAAGGTCATTTCCCACAACGTTTTAAAATCAATATTTGGGCAGGTATTCTTGACGATCAGGTAATTGGCCCTTTCGAGTTACCCCCACAATTGTCAGGAGAATGATACCTTAGCTTTCTAGCCAATAACCTACCAGAACTTTTGGAACAGACCTTAGACAACATACCATTACAACGGAGACAGAATTTGTCGTTTCTTCGTGACGGGGCACCACCACACATTTTTAGAGGCGTCACTCAGTATTTGAATGAACATTATCAAAATCGCTGGATCGGTCAAAATGCTCCTGATCCTCGAAAATGGCCAGCAAGATCTCCTGAGCTCAATCCGATAGATTTCTGGTATTGGGGAGAACTTAAAGGGATGGTTTATGGGGCTGGTCCAATAACAACTGAAGCACAACTTCGCCAAAAAGATTTTAATGCAGCTGAAATAATAAATGGACAACTTCGAGGACCTATTGTAAGAACAAACTGGGTTCGTCGTAATGAAGCTTGTGTGGAAAGTAGAGGACGACATTTTGAATACCTTCTATAAATACAAAAAAAGGCAGTGTGAGTGTGCTCCCTATTTATAAGTGGATTTTTTTAATACGTTCAATACACTTTCACACACCAGCGCTGAGATAGTTAGTGGTAAGTCCGTATTTTTAAATTGTTTGCATTTTACGACTACATTATCAAATAATGAAATAATACCTAAGGCCGTCCCTACAATTGTAGGGCCCGTTTATGGCCTCCTTGATTGTCATACTCCTTTCTCTCCTTCAAAAATTTCTAGATTACACTTGCCCCGTGTCAGCGTCAGCGCTCTCCTATTGTGAAGATATGTTTTCTTTTTAAATTGCAGGAAACTTCAGGCTGATAAAACATGATATAACTCAAAAGCAACCACAATTTGATGCAAATAGATGTTTGTGACATAACCTCAAAATAGAGTTCTGACACGGAGAAGTAGAAAACTATGACAATCAAGGAGGCCATAAAGGCGCCCTACAATTGTAGGGACGACTGACGATACGGGTCTAAGGCCTAAGGAGTTTGTTATTTTTGGCTCTTAGGCCCGTATCGTCAGTCGTCCCTACAATTGTAGGGCGCCTTTATGGCCTCCTTGATTGTCATAGTTTTCTACTTCTCCGTGTCCGGGCTCTATTTTGAGGTTATGTCACAAACATCTATTTGCATCTAATTGTGCTTGCTTTTGAGTTATATCATTATTATTACTATTATTATTATTATTATGATAATTGAGATGAGCAGAGTACACAGTACTATAAGCTCATGCAGTAAATATAGTGTACGGACACGTAACACAAATACATCAAATAGAAAAAAATAAAAAAAGACAGTTCATAGCTATAAAGTTTGTACACTCCTCCAGCTATCATACTGCACTTTGAAGCTATTAACTGAAGTAGCACCAACCACACTTTCAGGTAAACTATTCCAGGTGTTGAATATGCGGTTGGGAAGAAACCACTGTCGGACTGTTGTTTTAAATGGCTCCTTATGCAGTTTGAAGCTGTGTCCGCGTAGATTGCTGCGCGACAGACGGTATAGATGCATGAGGTTGGTGCCCATCAAACCATGAAGTATCCTGCACGTAACTATAAGATCGCCACGAAGTCTTCGCTCAGAGAATGAGGTCAAGTTGAATAATTCAAGGCGATCTTCATTGCTTGGTCTTCGTGCTCCAAAAGGGATACGAATAGCCCGACGCTGTACTGATTCGACGAGATTTCTACCGCGCAGAAGCACAGTGTCCCATACCGGGCCAGCGAATTCAAGAATTGGCCTCACGAATGCCTTGTAAATATAGGCGCAAGTGTTGACATCGGATCCTTTGAAAGACCTCTCCAGCATGTATAGAAGTTTCTTGGCTTTTGATGTAACGTGGTAAATATGCTCTGACCAGGAAAGACGATCTTTGACTACAACGCCCAGATCAGTGTGGCTGGAAACTGCTTCGATGTTGTGGTCAGAGATCTTGTATGTAAATCGCGGATTTGTCTTCCCGAGGTGAAGGACACAACACTTAGTTAGATTTAAGGGTAAAAGCCAACTGACTGACCATTGACAAACAATATCAAGATCTCGTTGAAGCATAGCAGAATTTACGACAGTATTGTAAATCTTGGTGTCGTCAGCATAAGCTGAACATGTGGAGGAAATCAATGCGGGCAGGTCACTTGTATACAGAAGGAACAGCACTGGCCCCAAGACAGAGTCTTGAGGAACTCCACTTGCTACATGATGAAGGTGAGACTGGCTATCACTGACGCGCACAGAGAAAGTCCTCCCGGTGAGAAAAGCCTTAATCCACAGCAACAACTCGCCTCTTATTCCCATACATTCCAACTTAAACAGAAACCTTCTATGTGGTACGCGATCGAAAGCCCTAGAAAAATCTAAGTAGATTATATCAACAGGAGTCTTCGTGTCCAGATACTGAGTCCAATCGTTGAGAGAGTGGAGAAGGTTGGTCATTATTGATCGACCAGGGAGAAATCCATGCTGATTCTTAGGGATAAGGTCATTTTCGAAAGCAAATGACAGGAGCTTATCTAATATGATTCTTTCAGCTATTTTGGCGGCGATAGGAACGAGACTTATTGGTCGATAATTTTTAGCGGAGGATTTGTCGCCCTTTTTGAATACAGGGGTAACAGAAGCACTAAGCCAGCATGAGGGTAGGGTATGAGATCTAAAAGACGATGTGAATATCAAGCTTAATGGTAGGGCCAGTGCTGAAGCGCAGTTTTTAAGTACAGCAGCCGTCATCCCATCTTTACCAGGGGAGGAAGAGGTCTTCAGATTTCGCAGGTGCATTAATACATCTTCAGACAGGAACTCAACTTCGCAAAGGCTGTTGGGACACCTATGGCAGATAGTGGTCGGTACAAGGTCTCCATTAGGCTCATCGACGAAGTCATCACTAAAGGACTCTGCCAGTAAGTTGGCAGATTCGGTGGCATCCATGTGGAGATGACCGTCAGCGTCGCGGATCTGAGGTGATGAAACTTTGGAATTCAGGTTTGTTCTTAGATACCGAAACAGCTTCTTCTTATTTTTGGAGGTAACGAGTTTTCGTTCATAAGCATGTTTGGCATTATGTAACGTTCTAGATAGGAGGTTAGAAAAGGATCGATGAGACACGTAATCTTGTGAATGGCCACTCCTCCTAAACCGTTGCCACAAAGATCTCTTGTGACGAAGCATCCTCGATATGTTAGAGTTGATCCAGGGCTTTGAGGGGTCACAGTATACCTTCTTTTCAACAGTATTGTCAGCCGTTTCGCTTAGGACTCGTTGAGCGAAAGTGTCCCACATATCTTGGGTGCTACGGTTGTTAAGCAAAGCAGGCCAGTTGACTTCAGACAGGGCTTGGTTAAGAGCATCGTGGTTTACAATTTTGATGGTTTTAAACTTATCGGTTGTAGAACGACTATTTATATTGAACTGGAGAGAATATAAAAGTGAACCGTGGTCAGACTTGCCAAAAGGTGGCAAATAAGCTAAATTAGAAACAAAGTCGGCGTCGTTAACGAATATCAAATCCAGAGCCCTAGGCGACTGTTCTTCCCTGAATCTCGTTGGACGATCAACAAGTTGAGATATGCTAGAGTTACGTAGCAAGTCGATGTAAGCAGCAGAAGAAGAATTGCATTCAGGAATGGTTGACATAGGCCAGCTAATGTCACGTAGATTGAAGTCACCAGCTATGAAAAGGTTGGTGTTTTTTAT